ACTAAGCACGGCCACCTTAGGAAGTTAAACAAAACGGTTCGAAACTCATCGCTTTAGCGTAGACCTAAATAATTTCGGACTTTGAATTCATAGTTATAGTAGCTACATTTTAAAGAAAAATTCATTGCTCGACGAGGGAATTCCGCGTAAAATTACATACGAAAACCGATACCACACGAATCGCGAGGTGATGAGTGCGATGTCGGTTTTCAAGTGCAATTTATAATGGTAATTGAACTGAGTGGAGCGCAATTTGGGCTGAAATCATACGCGTGATTTCAAAATCGAACGAGCCCGCAGCGCGAATTCGGTTTGATATCACAAGTATGATTTTAGACCAAAATTTGCACGACATGAGGTTTAATTACCACTTTATTACATCCATTTTGAAATCACCCAAATACAGGACTTGGCCAATTCAAATATTTTACTGATGCAGTACTGAGCCAGTTTTTAAATACAAAGCAGAAACGGAAACACTTTTACATCTTATTAATTTTTGTATGCAAAACAGAAAGACTTTTGACGTCATGTGTCAAAAACTCAGTCAAGCGTAAAATGATGCGATTTAGAGCAAAAACTGGTGATTTAGAGCAAAAACTTTTTTTTGGTGAATATATCACACCAATTAGAGCCAATCAGATTACATGGACCACCTGTGATTTCAAAATGGATGTAATAAAAAGCAGAATTCACGAGTCAGGTAATGAATTTTCCTTGAATCGCATAAGTGAATAAAAACAAGCAAAAGGAAACGGTAATTATATTGATTATTTTACCCTGTACGCGAAACGGGAGATGCGAAACAATGTCACATTGCCTCGTTTTCAAGTGGAAATCCCACGCTAAATACATCACATCGTTAACCAATGCGAATGCAAGATTTCATTCAATTATGCGATTCTAATTACTTCACTAAAGACTTCGTATTACCATATTAGGCTCTTCTTTTCCAGTAGATTTCAGCAAGTAGGGTCAGAAAAGCTGATACCATCCCAGCACACAACACCGCGTAGACACCCAGCAGACTCATAAGACCAATTTGCCTTCGAGACAACGCTGAAAATGGAAAAAATAAGACAGGATCTTCACAGTAATAATGATTTTTGTAAATATTTCTGTACTTTAGGTATTTGCAAGTGGCCCATACCGATAGATTTCAATCTGATTCCATTCCATTTAGCGATGCCAATATTATCACGTTTACCTGATTGCAAAAAAAGTTAAAGGCTTGATCTCGCAATATGGTTAAAACAATTGATAAAGAACTAAATTTTGCAAGACAAGTATTTTGAAATTTGTAATCTCGTACCGTCTAATATTTCCGTGATAATGCTTTCGAATGCACAGAATTCATGTAAAAACTAAACTTCCATGAACTGGAATTATTACATAGATGGCAGCGCCCGCAGGCAAAATGAAGCAAATCCTGTATTCTGATTGGCTACCCCAGAGGGCAAATTGGGCCCACCTTGCCCGCTAGGGACTGCTCGCTTTAATTTGATCCCCAACAAGATAAAAAGTGCGGAGCGAGCTCCAAAGTTGGTAACCTTTGGAAAATGTCGGCGACGAAGTCGCGAAAAGCGGAGGAAGACAGTCAAAACAAAGAGAAGATTTAATGGCTCTCTTAGGTTTATTGTGTCGCAAACACAGTTGGGTTTTGTTCCCGGTTCTCGAAATAAACAAGTCATTCTTGATTCTAAAATATTTTTCTATTTGATAAATTGTTTTTTGACCTAGCGTGAGGTCAAGATGGCTAGATATTAATTAGCCTCAGATGTAACTAACCGGCCATCTTGACCTCACGTTAGGTCAATAGCGTAAATTTGTTATTTGATAGAAGTACCATGATCGTGTTTTTTAGTACTGTTACTATTATTCGTTATTATATTTTAGAGCCAGAACAGCCCTAACACATAATTTGCACTGAAGGGCTCCTTAGCTTTTACACCCAAAGAGCAGGGGTATTTCATTACAAAAAGTATGCAACATACATGTTTCTTCTTCTACTGGACAGTCGTTTCTGCTTTTCCACCATTTCCGTTCCAAGTGACCAAGGAAAGAGTTTTCGTGCAAACGCAAAATAGCAAGTGTGAATTCATTTGTATGGAGATCGTTGGCTTGGAAGGCCAGAGCAAGTCCTTGAGACATGCCTGAAACTGGCACTGAAAAATAAAATGAATTGCTGTTACGCCGTAGATTAAGTGTTCAAATGAAAACCTCAAATCTGGGGTATTCCGGTGGGTCAGTCAGAAAGGTATACTATGGATATACGTAGAAGACTGCTTGGTCTAAGATCCTCTGAGGTCCTTTTGTTTACTGATCATTGATATATGATTTATTATCGACTCACTCAGCAGAATAACAAAATGAATTCTTCCAGCACATTTAAAAACGAGAGTCTTGAGATTCTTGCTACCAAAGCTTAAATATTTTGAATAATAAAAATTAAGTGTTGCAGTATTTACCTACTGTTAAATCACAGGGTGGCTTTCCAGCAATTTCTTTGAGAAAAGGCCCGTCAGTTATGAGCGCGAACTCTTCTTTTTCTCTCACCCACTGAACACCCTGTGTTACACTTTCAGCAAGAGTACCTTCCGATTCTACTTTCCGCCAGATCTTTTTGTGTGTTTCGTAGCCACTGAGCTTGAAGTACTCTGAGTTACTAGATGAATCAAATAATGCGACCGAATAAGACGATTTCACGAGGTCTTCAAAGTTGTTTATTGGACTCTCGACGTTTTTTATAGTGAAAAAAGCTGCCAGATTAGCAGTATATGTCGAGATCCAGATTAATATGCAGAACCAATAACAACCAACGAGTATCCGACCTGAAGATAATTAGGAGAAAAATCATTAAGTTTAGTGTTTTGGTTCAAGGAATACTATCTGTCCAATGGCTGGTGAAATGAAATTTAAAACAAACTGCTCCACCCGAACTACTGTCATAGAACTGCACATTTCACGGAAACATACGAATGACTTATGGAAAATTGTCGTTAAATACCAGCAATCCATTTTTATTATGACGAGAATTCTGCAAAATAAACTCCTTTATTGGTTATCTTTAATAGTATCTACTTCACCTGATAGACTTCTTGGTGTATTATCTCCCCCCTGTTGCAGCATACAAGTACCAACGAGTATCCGACCTGAGGATAATTAGGAGAAAAATCATTAAGTTAAGTGTTTTGGTTCAAGGAATACTATCTATATGCTACCTGTTATAACACAGTAATTTTAATTTTTTTCGAATACGTTTGCTTTCTCATAATTTGAGCCGCTAACAAAAAAGATATTCTCTGAATTTCCATAGCGTACCTCATTTAATGGCTGGTGAAATGAAATTTAAAACAAACTGCTCCACCCGAACTACTGTCATAGAACTGCACATTTCACGGAAACATACGAATGACTTATGGAAAATTGTCGTTAAATACCAGCAATCCATTTTTATTATGACGAGAATTCTGCAAAATAAACTCCTTTATTGGTTATCTTTAATAGTATCTACTTCACCTGATAGACTTCTTGGTGTATTATCTCCCCCCTGTTGCAGCATACAAGCCAAAGAAAACCATACACTGTTGAAGAACCTGAACTCCTTTGATGTCCCTCGGCCATTATTATCTTTATATCCATAAGGACTGTAGAAGTTTATTACAAACACGGTAATGGAAATGATTACCAAGGAGGCCAAGGTCGCGAACCAGACTTGATTATCAAACGGAGCCAAAAACTGGAAAAGGTCAATTTTTTCTTTGGACGATGCTTTCCTCAATAGTATACCTGAGGTGTAGTGCATGAAGGGGACGCTGAAATCCACAACTTTCTCTCGCCTTTCAGTAATAGTGAGTGCGGAAATCGCCAGATCCGCTTGTTTTGGGAAAAAGAGTTGCAATTGAAAAAAAGAAAAAAATTAGAAGATTTTTTCTTTCCATCTCACGCAGACCTCCACTCAGAGAGCATCCTTACATTCTCCTCAGTGGCACAACTGATACTGTCTTTTTCAGCCTCTCAGACTGAGATTATAGTTAGCTATTCTTGCACGAACATTAGTCACGAAACGGTGGCAATGTATCATGGATGGCACAGTTATAACACAGTAATTTTAATTTTTTTCGAATACGTTTGCTTTCTCATAATTTGAGCCGCTAACAAAAAAGATATTCTCTGAATTTCCATAGCGTACCTCATTTAACACCTCCTTAATAACTCCATTCCAAGTTCCGTTCTCATTTTTAGCTCCATACTTCCCGTCAGGGGAAGTGTAAACCTCGTAGGTAAATCTCAGTTTTCTTGCAAGCTCATTTAGAAGATCAATACAGTACCCTTCGTAGAAAAGTCCGCCACCTTCCTTTGTCCTTTTCATTTCGAAGGGAGAATCCTGGAAGTATAATAGTAACAGATTAACCATTGCGCAATTCAAAGCTGGTATTTCAAATTCTGACATGAAGCCAAATATTTCCCCTCAGAAATGATCAAAGGA